ATTTTTGGTGAATTCTTGGGTTTTAAATTAAAATAGCTGATAGACGCTTTGGCCATTTGCCTCGAAATTTTCACACATTATTGACAAGGTGTTCCCCCTTCAAAATGCGTCCGGACAGTTTATTACGGCGAGTGGAACAAAAATAACAAGTCCGCAATTAACATGGATATATAAATTATGCAAAAATAGAAAAGAGTGAACTTTGAGGTCATGCTGTGCGACTTTGAAAGTCGTTAGAGAGATGAGTGGACGCATTTGAATTAGTAGTATACCAAGGTATCCAGTGATGTAATTTTACCCACAAATGGACTTGAAGTTTTTAAGCTAATTTTTTTTAAACCACTTTTGTCCAAAAAAGCATATTTTTGACCCAAAATCAAAAACGCATTCTGGATATTTAAAATAAAGACAAGTTTTACAAAGTTTGTATAATAAGCTTTCAGAAAATATATAACATGTTGGATATATAATACCATCTTCATTGTCTAATTACTCAATTAAAAAGCAAGCCAAATAAACTGCATCTCTACCTTAAAGTTGAATTTTCTTTAAATCACGATTTAAAAACCCCGGTAAAACAGCCTTGCTTTCAACTCGCATCATAAGTGGAGGAAACAGATTTACTTGTGTTCTTTTGGAACAAATATTCTGATTGGTTGTTTTTCGCGTCAATGTGTGGCTTTGGCCCAGTGTTCTCCCCAGGCCTCTGAAGCGACACGGTACCGTGACGCTTGGACACTCGGTCGTGATGCTTGCCCTTTGTCCGTGACGCTTGGTCACTCGCCTGTGAGGCTTATGTTTTTGTTTACAAGTGTCAGTCTCGTCTTGCACGTATTTCAAACAATAACATGTATTGATCGAAAGGTAATCCCGCTTTTGTTAGCCATACAAAAACAGTGATAAAAACGGAAGTCTGCAATATGTTGCGAAGTCTTTCAAAGGTGCAGAGCCTCCAAATAAAAAAAAAAAATTAACTAGAGTAGCAATAATTTGCCCATTGCACGCAACGGCAACAATGTGACAAAACAAGTCATGGGCGTACGTCAGGAAGATCAACCCCGATTTGCTACACTCTGATTTGTTATCACTCAATCGCTGGTGACATTAATTACCCCAAAATTAAAAAAAAAAAAAGTGAAATTAAGTCGCACTGGAAAGAAAAGTATGAATAATTCAACAGCAGACGAGACGGGTTGAGAAAAAACAAACTCTGACCTCTGGAAATACCATGGGCTCTAAAACTTGTACACAATGATGAACCAGTTACATCCATGGATAACACTATACTCACTGACTGGCTATAACACAAGTTTTTCAATTTTTTTTCCTTTTTATGATGTTCCATTTCAAACTTTATTTGACTTGATACAAAAACATAAAATACAATGCAGTAAAATGATATAAAATTTATCAGATATAAAAATATCTTGTCTTTAATTAATTGTAGATTGACAATATTTGTTGGGAAAAACTGATCATTATGCAAATAAAAATTATGCAAATTAAATGAATTGTTATGCAAATTGGCCGTGATGCTTGACATGAAGTCTGGGGAGAACACTGCTTTGGCCAATCAAAAGCATCGTTACATAGTATCAGGGTGCACACAGTAAAATGAACTGTTTCCGGGTGATAGCTGTTTTCAACAAAGCAGACATCAACAAACTTTCGATTCGAATGGAAATTATTCTTTTAAGTATGTATTTTGATTTTTTATACCTACATGTAATTCTATTATTTTTGATAGTAACTGTTAACTGCAGATCGAAAATATTCTATTGTGTACAATTTATTTCGTTTGATCACCTTGGTTTTTGGTGACATTCATGCCAGTTTTTTAATGAACCAATTACCAATGTTTGTGCGACATTTTATTTTGCTTCGTCCAAATAAATATAAATCATAAATATAAATTTTTGCTAAAAATTAAGTAAAGCATGTACAGTATGTATCTATTTGGGAAAATAAATTAACAAACTTGTTACGTCTTCTTTTGGACGCGATCATTACTTGTAAACAACTGATGTCACCGCTTGAGGAATCGTGCAGCTAAAATCAGCTGATTGTACATGCTGATGTTTACTTAATAATAGCTCTTCAAAATTCCTATTCATTTTGTAATAATAAATATATATTATGCATATGTAATAATATGTAGATTAATAGATTTTTCCATTTTTCAACATCCTTGCCAATGATGCACGTTACAAATGTGCCACGCCCACTTTACATTGGCGCGTCCCGTTTAATTTTCAAACCGTGGAGAACCCTGCTACCCAAGGTACATATACACCAAGTATCAAAGCATTCAGGCTAGTAGTTTTCAAGAAGAAGTCAAAGGTAAAACATTGACACGGACTATGGACGATCACTCATATGATAAGCTCCGCTCGACAAAGTCGACAGCGGAGCTAAAAATCTGTTTAGGCGGCCAAATTTTTATGGTACTACAAAATACCTGTGTAAACTAAAATAAAATGAGTCTTGAATCTTTCATAGTACTAGAGTAGAGTATATGTGAGTACAAAATGTTTGAAAACAGATGATCAGGGAGTTTTTCAAGAAAAAATTAACAAGAGGGCGAATCAACCTGGAAACGCCATATCTGAAGGTTTCTGCGCTGTTTTAACGCTGTATCTATCGCCACTGAATTATTTTTAGAGTAATTTTAATGTATTTGGTGTCCAGACACACTGTCAGGTGGTGTTGCTGGGAAGTTTTCACAGAGAAAATATATTTGAGAAAGATTTCATGTCGTACGGCAGCACGAAAGTGCGCGGCTCAAGAATTATATTTATGACTTGAAAGTTCAATTGGCAATTCGTTAAGAGGGCGCCAGCCGAGAGCATCAGGGCGCTGCTTCCCTGTTCCCTGGTTTAGAAAAACTCTGGATGATGATCAATTGGAAACTTGTGGTGATATGAAAGATATGAAACGGTAGCATGGTGTAATTTCAGCCCACTAACGTAAATATCGCACATCGAAAGTTGGATGCTCACCGATTTCATTTCTGATTAGAACTGAACATATTCATCTACATGTTCAGCATAAAAATGACACTATGGAAACACACAATACAAATAAATGAAAGTATATTTAGAAATCCTTTGGTAAGCTTGTGTCAATAAACTACCAGCAAGGTCTTCTGTGGCCAACATCCTGCAGACTAAATCTCAATTTCACACCAAAAACAATAACCGTTGCAAGTTTGTTCTTTTAGTGGTCTGTTGTGTAATCTAGTAGCTACAGTGTAATAATGCACATATAGTTTTTGTCATGTAACTAATAAATAGCCTAAATCTGAAAATAATAAATAACTTATGTTTTTGTATTTTTACTTGTCTAAACCTGTTGTAAACAAAGCTGCACAGCACAAAACACTGTAGATTAGAGTATACACTAGAAACCTATTAAGAACAGTGTTATTACAAGTTAACAGACACTTTATCAAAAGCCCTAACCCTAGATGAAATACCCTAATGGTAACAACACTGTTTTAGAAACAAAAAAGAACTCAATTTTAAAGCGGGAGGGTAGTCCCAAGCGACGATAACACATGCTAAAAACGCAAAGGCTCATGGATAGACGCTTGTTTGTAAACAATGACACGCTATGGCAATCTGACGTATGCGCAGGTGAGCACTCCCCCGCTTTAAGATCAAGTCATTAATGACAGTACAAGAGAAATACAGAAACTGCATTTTTATAGCAAAAATTTGATGTGGCATATGGCTCTGTGATCTTCATCAAACCATGGTGGCAGCAATGTCACACCAAATTACCAGCAATAAATATTTTGATAAAGACAACAGTATTATATTAGTATAAACCATTTTTTAGACAATAAGAGTGATAAACAAAACCATTTTTCAGACAACAAGAGTGATAAACAAAATATACTTGTGGTATTTATAATTCTGTGGGATGTTAAATCGGATATTCCAAAAATAAAAAAAAACTGCTATAGCAAAAATTAACTATTTACAAACATGAGTCTTCCCTTACAATAGAGTACTTGACACTACACTCTGAATATTTAAGCTCAATAGAGTTGTGAATAGGAATGAACATACCGGTATTACACGGAACTATGGTGTACCTACCAGTAAGATTGATCAAGCAGTATAGAGTACCATTTTACACATGTGCAGGGCACTAAAATATATTCTCTGATATTATAAGGGTAAATCAGGTCACCATGGCCGACACAAAACATGCAATGTTTCAGGACCTGCAGACAGCAGTAAATCAAACCACTTCAAATTTTAACAATAAATTCAAAATGTTTAGGAGTGAGCAATCCTGAAGAATAGTGATAATGACTAGACAATGCCAATTCCATCTACTAATTTGAAGCACATGTGTTGTTCAGATGACACAAACATTGGTACTGTAGTAGAAGTTAAACAAGCATTTTGGGATATTTGCTTGATGCGTTCGTTTTGTACGAAAAGATTATTCTTGTTACAACCTGAACCAACCCTCGAAAAACGAGATCAACAAAGGGCAAGAAGACAATAACATATCAAAAACACAGTACGCTGCCGTTTATGTTAGCATTTTGACACAATGTCACAACACTATAGGGTTCGTAGCAAAGTACAATAATATAATTTGGTACTAAATTAACATTTTCTATTTAATTGTTTTCGGTAATATCAACGCTACTATAAACCCACAATTTGTCTACGGGTGCAAATAAACTATAACCTCTGTGCCCATACCAATTTTTGGCCCTGATTTGGCGGGAAATCTCAAGAAGTTTAAATATCAAGCATAAACACTTCCTCCATACATGTATACATTGTTCCCTGTATTTATTCTCAGGTTCTATAACACTTGGACAATTTTCAGAATTTACATTCTACAGAGCATTAAAAGACGGCACTAAAATTTTTTCTGATATTATAATAAAAGAGAATTACTATCATTCAACTAAATTATGGCGTCCAATGAGACTGAATGAGTAATTTTTGATCATATTCCGTCATTACACCTACCTTAGACGAGCTTTGAAATCGCCCGAGATTTCATCGGAGATCGACCATTACAGCCCAACAGCGATTCCTTTTGCGTACAATATGATCCTTACACCACAATGGAACTGAACTGCGTATATATTTGTGACAGATATTAACAAACACCGACAAAATTTCCTTATCCCCACATGTTGGAACAACAATAACCGCGCCAAAAATTACGAGGTCACTTCACTGTTTTGACCCTGACCATCATAGCAGATCAGTGCGCAAAAGCATACTCCGTCAGTATAAATAATTACGTACCAATAAATTCCGAATTTGGATACAGATCGTTCAAAATATTTTTTACCGTCGGGAAAACACAAAACAAACTCTAGTTGTCGCCACTATGTTATACATTAAACGATAGACCTATTTTCTGCAAGTGGAAAGATACAAGATGGCGGCTTTCTGTAAATCCAAATTTTTTTATTCTCGTGAACTTTATTCATGATGATTTATAGCGCCCTCACCCAGCCATGTTCGAATTGCTTTCGTTCATGTTGTTGCGTGAACGTTGATCCCATTCACTGGGTAAAAATTTTACAACTTGCAATTGAAAGAAAATTAGATATATTGTAATTTTACATATTTACAAAGATTTAATTATGACAGCAAAATTAAGACCCATTGAATAATTAGTGTTTGTTCATCACATCAAAAAGTTTTCGAAAAAAATAAGATCACTTTTACATTGGAAGTAAATATGGATCAAACTTCAATGAGAAAGGCAATTTACAGTTACATCTCAAAAATGTTGTTCAGTCACCTATAGTGAATAAATCATATGTAGTTAAAAGATTGGTATATTTATGGTTGTCACAAATTATTAGTAAATTTTAATATTTATTTTTGATAGGACGATGCTTTGGATGCATTCCTATAGAAATAGTTCCAAAAAGGTTCATTCTTTTGAACAGTTTCATACCGAGTTTAAACCAGCAATTGTAATGTTTTAGGACGACTGCCATTGAACACCCTTAATAAAATTATCAATATTGAAAAAAAAAATGAAACAGTTGAGATATTACATTTTTAGGCATTATAATGAGTATGCATTAACTACCAAATACACATGTTGACGAATTATTTTAGTCATATGTAAATTTAATATATTAGAAATTCCCAATGCAACGATAAATTTAGTCTTTCTATGACACAGATCACCCAATCTAGCAGTAGATCAATATACTAGAAGATGATACACAAAACACGCTAGTCAATATAAACCCTGACACTCCGCACGTTGAGGTGAGGGGGACAAATACAATCCCGAGAGTTGCTGGTATATAAAATACCTTACCCCCTGCAATAACACAAACCATATACTATTGTTCTCTCATTTTTATCTCCAGTTGGGCTATTTCATGAGCAAGTGCTGGACCCCTTCAGGCATCTTTGAACAACACTATACTGAGATAAGTCCTATAGTTCCCTAATATAACCCTGAGGTAGAACAGAGGGGTTGTCGGGGTTTCCATTGACTCAAGCATAACGTTTCTTGATATTTTCACCAAAATAAATACCCAAATTTGTTTCCATAAAGATGAAATTTTTTTACATAGACCACATTTGCTCCATCTTTAGTTTTACAAAATTAATTTATTAAATATTTAATCATTACATAAATACAAGAAAAGGTACATACTGTAGAATACTTTATTTTCGCTTGGAATTTATTTTCGCTATTTTCGCTGAAGGGACGATTCTGTGAAAATAAAATCCAGCGAATATACTTTTTTTCCTATATTTCACATTAAACTCATCGAAAATCAGTGAAAATAAATTCCAAGCAAAACTCCCAAAAAGCCTTTTCAGCAAAAATTAATTCCAGCGAAAATAAAGTATTCCACAGTATTCACTGCATTTCAGGAAAAACTGAAATAAAATAAATGTTAAGCACTACCAACTTTTAGCTACTTCACTTGACAATTTAAATTCATTATAAATACATTTATTGTAACTTCCACATAAAATATCATGCATTTATCAAGTCTAGTATTGTCGCTTTATTAAAGGTGTATTATCTGTTAAAAGACTTATTTAAAGACTTTAACATATTTAGTAAAATGAGCCACGAGTTGGAATCAGCAGTTATGGTGTTCATGAACCTGACTTACTTCATTTTTATCTGGAATACATAAAATCCAGATATGCAATACTGTTTTGAATCCTGCTTTATAATAAGGAAACCAAAGGACAAGACAGCTAAGAAGTGGGTGCTTATCACACAAATCTCCCGACTTGCTTCACATTTTGATTAATGAGGCTAGAAAAACATTTCGTGTGTGATTTGATGAACATTTTTGACGTCCTAAGATGGTGAACACTCACCAGCCAAATCTACACAATTGCTTGTCAATGTTTTGGCTGTTTGCTTACAATTTCTGACCCAGATAACTTGGAAATATCGTAATTGTTGCATTTGTTACATGTCACATGCTACTCCATACATGAAATGCTATAACAGCTTTAAAGCATTTAACACAATGAAAGTACAAAATAACAGTGTTTTATTTGTATTTTTGCACAAACAAGTTTTTTTTAGTACACATTACATAACACTGTTAACAATGTCTTAATAATAGTTAATAATAATGTTAAGTTTGAAGATAAAAATACAAATATATCACAAAATAATCAGAATTAATTCATTAAGTCATTGACAATGCATAATATTGTATTGTCACAATCACGTTACTGTATTTTCTCTATTAGTCATGCATACTATTACATAAATGAAAGAGGTGTATCTATTATCAAAATAAGTTAGATAATGATCCAATATTCAATAAATGCAGATGTACTTCTAAAAGAGCAAATATGAGATATTTAATCATAGTCTAGAATATTAGTACAAAGTACTTGAACATTGACACCATAATAAGATAAACTATGCACCTACATTTAGGTATATTCTCAGAAATGGTTTAGAACTTCAGTACAAGTTTAAAATATTATTAACGCAACACAAATGAACAGAAGAGGGTTTTCATTCAAGACACACTATTGTCATGAATTAGTTGTTTTTAAATTCACTAATTTCTGCTATCAAATCCACTAAAGATCCATTTTTTGCAGTTTTGTAATGTAATTTGTTATGATTCAGGGCATACTACTCATCACAGAAATGTTGACAGGAACAATACATTGCAGCATAATTTCACTACTTTTGAATAGCATGTAGTTTTTGGAGAACACAGGAAAGCTTTTCTCCCTCCATAAGCAATGGTGCAATAAGCAATTTTCCACTTCTTGTAAACGAACAGTTTATTCTACAGACGTTTCCAATTTCCTACTGTCAATCAATAGGGTTGAAGAACAAACTACACCCTGTAAACACATGGATTGAAGTGAGTCAATATATTGTACAGTCGTGCTGTACACTTCACTTAATCAGATGTGTTTTCAGGTTCTGTCATATGTGCCCATGTTTTTCCAATACTCATAGATACTTTCAATGGCACCTGTAATAAAGACAACATGTATTATTTCACTTATAATATATTGAGGGAGAATCAAGTTGGCATCCTGTAAAATACAACTAAAGTAAAGATTGAGAAAATAAACGTATTTGGTGGTACACCTTGGTGACATTATGATGGTGCATAACAGACTTTCACGGTGCATTGTATACTCTTATGGGACATTATATAATCCCATGATGCATTGCATACTCCCATGGGGCATTGCACACTCACATGGTACACAATGCACCATGGATTCATTAATAGAGAAATATTCATATATTATATTTTTTCTTCAATCATATTTTCAATCATAGTACAGCTACACACATGAACTAACACCAATGCATAATGTATTTATTGGTGTTATAGATGATGTTGAAGTCAGATAACTTAGCTGCAACATAATCCTTGTTTGTTGGTTGTTCTGTTTCCAGTTTATGTACTTAGAAATCTCTAAACACACTGGCAATTTATCATAATAATTGCTTCATAAAATCACTGTTGTAATATTCATAGTCATATTTATCCAATTTGAGACTATTCAGCGAGCTAAAAAGCATTAAAAAATGATTTGACTGAAACTTGATAGAAACTGTTTACATTAATCTTCTCACCACCAGTTCCTTCTTTTCATCACAAATTCACAAAATAGTCCTGTTTATAGTTTGCACTTTCCTTCAGAGGATTCGGACGAAAAAAAAAAATTTTGAGTAAAAACTGAAAGTTGACTAAAATTTTGTCTGTTTGCTCCAAAATTAGGGTTCACTTTCAGAAATATTAAAGAATATGATAAAAAAAGTGCAGAAAAATTTGGGCAAGAAAGTCTGATGGTAAAAAGGTTAACAGCTGAACTTGAAATTACTTTAATTAGAGTATTTTATATGTACATTGAGTAATACAATGTAACCTCAATATAATGAACACCGTTATAATGAATTTCCTGATATAATGAACACATAGCGTGTCTCCCGTTCACTACAAACTATTATGTGCTTCAGTATAGTGAACATTTCACTATAACAAACTAATTGTATGTCCCCCAAAGAGTTCGTTATAACGAGGCTACAGTGTATTAGTAAATTGACCCAAACAAATTCTAAAAAGAAATAAAATACCTTTAAATGAACTTTGTCACCACATAATTCTTCACATGATTCCATAACAGACTTCACAATATCTAAAGAATGGTAAAGTCTATAATCACTGACCTTCGCATTGAATAGATTACTAACATTGATGAACATGTACTGTAGAATACTTTATTTTCGCTTGGAATTTATTTTTGCTATTTTCGCTGATGGGAGGATTCCGTGAAAATACAATCCAGCGAATATACTTTTTTTCATATATTTCACATTAAACTCATCAAAAATCAGTGAAAATAAATTCCATACAAAACGCTCAAAATGCCTTTTCAGTGAAAATTAATTCCAGCGAAAATAAACTATTCCACAGTATTTAGATCAGCACTGATGCTCATTTTTTAATAGTTGGAAGGTCTCCTACATTATATATTAAGTCATTTATAAGTAATCTGGATCAGAATTCCCAAGTTGAGTGGAAGCATGGTACATGTATATACAAAGCACAACCTGTCAATAAACAAGCTGCTCTCTGATTGGTCTGACTGTTAGGTGTTAAGCAGCCAATCAGGTACAATCCTTTATTAAAGTACTAGTAGCTTTGCATTGACTCAAATTCACTTGGCCAATCATTACTGCAGATTCACATATGATTGAGTTTTCAACAATTCATCACATTCTGACTACAGGTAACTATTGATCACTGCAATTGTTATACGTAAACTGTAGATGCAAATATTAACCATGTATACCTGTCACAGAGTGGATGT